CACTGCACTGCACTGGTTCATTTTCTGCTTCACCATCACCAACTTCCTCTCCCTGCTCTGTAAGCTTCTGTGTGTCCGTCGACATCCATTCCATTTATTGTCTTCCTTCCTAACACGGTTATGTAGGTTTCCTCCACATCTCTTTCGAACAGTTCCAGTGTTCTTCCACACAGGTTTCTTCACGGATGTTGCTCAGTGTCTCCCATTTTGTTCTGGTGACTGATGGAGTGAAGATGTCCTTCGTAGTGTTGTCCTTCACTTTCTGTTCTGTTCTGTTGTGGGTGTTGAACTTGAACTGTGGTCTATCACCAGCTTCTCCTTTCAAAGCTTTCAACTTGATTTTCAAGTTGGGTTGCTTACGCTAGATAGTGAGCGGTGTGAACCACCTACATCTGATCTTGTGTCCAGTAGGCTGGCTGCATCTCCACTTTCTCCCCATTGACATGAGGTTGATCTGATTTCTAGTGTGTCCTGGTGTCTGGTGAAATCCATGTCGTTGTCTTGTGAATATCCTTGTGTTTGTACACACCTCTGCCTCCAATCACCAAATTGTTGAATACGCTGAAATCTGCAAACAGTTCTCCATTCTCCATTATCATTTCACTGAGTGCTTCTCCATCCATCACTAGTTGTCTTCCTGTGTTTTCTGCTCCGAGTTTGTCATTCATGTCACCCACTAGAATGGATTTTGATGTCGTCATCTGGGTGTGGTCTTGTCCAGTACTGATTGCAGCTGTCTGTGGAATTCCTCCTTTTTCTCTTCATCTGCATTATTTGTAGGTGTGTAGCGTAGCGTAGCGTCGTCTTGTATGATTGTGACTCTCCTTCCTGTCGACCTGAATCTTGCTTTCATGATCGTGATCCAGGTGGAGGAGATTGGTCCCCATTGTCTTGGACAGAGAGAGAGAGAGCCTTCGATGCTGTTGGGAGAGGGACATGATGATAGCCACTCAAGAACTCAGTGTGCTCGTGGTTGTCGTCTGGATGACAATGTCCGAGTAGTTAATTGACTGTTTAGTTGACAGTTTGGAGAGTCCACTTCCATTCCTTATGCAGATTCCTCACAGATTCCTAGCACTTCGATACCATACCGTCTCATCTCTTTTACAATCTGGACAGCCTTGTTAGGTTTGTGCATAGTGCGGACAATACATGTCCCCATTCTTACTTTCGCTTTCATCGAGAAAGAGAGAGAGAGAAGGAGAAGATACATCGGTCAATTGGCTTCCCGATGGCTTTCAGCAATCGGCGTCATTTCGTCTCTCTGACTCCAGGTAGGAATAAGTTTGTTTTTATTTTTATATTTCCTGTGTGCTTTGGAGTTTCTTTAGCGATTGGATTTGTTTTACGGCGTAGGGTTGCTAGCCTTATGGCCAACCTTCTCTCTTTATCCTTGTTTAGGACCGGCTAGTAACTAGTGAACTAGTGTATTGTTCACCTTGACCGCTTCCAATGAGGCTATTTTCCTATTTATTAATCGCTTAGTTTTATGATGCAACTTTTCCTATTCACTTCAATGACTCACGCATTGTACATAAGCACAAAAGTTTAGATACTTGTCTGTAATCGACTATAGTCTCTCTAAAACTATCTCAAGTAAATACCCTTGTAAATGCCAGACTGTTAATTTCAGCCTCAAGTGTAAACAAGACTGACTTGTGTGAGCTGCTCAAATCTTATGACGCCTGTTGCTTCATTGATGATATTTCTACAAAAAGTATGAAGATCTATGCCACTCCAGTGCACTCAGCATAAAGCGTGAACAACATCCAGATTTTCAATACTAATGACGGTCAAGTCAGTGCTTCTATGTGATGGTTGAGAGACTTGGAACGTCATAAAAAGCATTTTTAACAAACTATAGACATTCATCAACAGATGCCGCTTGCGCTCACTCGATACTGAAGATCGGATCAGAAGGCGAGAAAGAATAAGGAACAAGGAACTCTGGCTGGCTGACTGGCAACGAACCAAGCAAGAACCTGCCACCCAACAAATATGCAGTAGAAAGTGGAGATGGATTGGATCTGGTGTACACTGAGAAGACCATTCGGGGTCATCATGCTCCAGGCCAGGGTAGACTGTCGAGTGGGAACTAAATGGGGAACGACGAGTTGTGTGTCCGAGACTAGGGTGTAATAGAGGAGATCAAGTGAGAAAGAAATGACAGCTTCTGGGCTGTCGTGAAGCCAGGTTAAGGCGACTGAAGAGGAGTAAGTTAAATGGCGACGTGCCTCTAAAGGCGTATGTTCCTCTAGTTACTCAAGGGACAAATAATAATAATAATAACCACTTATCAGAAGACTGCATGCCACCCTAAAAATGGCGAATGTTGGCAATAGTCAATCCGTGCTGTGATTTCACCAGTCATTAAGCTATATGGTTGATATGACACCTCTGCATTGAGTAAACTTGTCAACCTCTTTACTGCCTAATGTGAAACGAAGTATTGCGGGAAATTAAAACAGTAGCGGCATCTTGCCTCTAAGTGGTAAGCAACACTCACTAAACCACTTCATGTTATCACTCAAAGGCTACATGCCACTTTGTATGTTATATGTTATCAGTTTTCTCACTTAAATAGATCCTCTGTGATATGGTGCGGAAATTAGAAGGAAAGTGAAAACTAGATGAGTTGTTACTGGTCTTCTTTTTCTTGACTGTTGTTTAACCGTTGTGTTATTCCAGATTGTGACCATCTGCCTATCTTCAAGCAATTGTATCTGAATACTGATTGTTTATGAGGCTAGATAGCATATGACACCAGTCGAAAGAGATCTCTCCTATCTTCACCACGTTGCGTTTATTTATCCCTCACGAGGCTTGTCTAACACATTCCATGCACAGTTCATTGGTATACAGATAGTCGAACTGGTCTTAACTATCTTTTACAGTCTGAAAGTTTCCATAAGCATTTATCTTCCCGTAGCAGGATCTCTTGAGAGAACGTAGGTGCTCTTACTGCTGAGGAATTCCATACTAGGATGAGGTAACTATTCACTCCTCTTAGGTTGTCAGCGATTCACCAACTGAAGACATTTGATACACCTAACTAACTGACTAGACTTCACAGGCCTTACACTAAATCTAAATACTTTAAACATTCTCAGTCCATATCATCCAACCCCAAGATGTTGTCCCATAGATATCACTGTTAAGTCTTCATGTTATTTTGTAAGTCTTTCTGTGTGTTACTCATTGATACTTGCAGTTCCCCTTTGAATAACATCTTGGCCCGAAGTGACCAACCTCTCCAAGGTACGCCTCAACTTTCATTCCAATCCTATTTGATTAATGCTAGTTGACAGTAAGATCCAGGATGCTTATTTCGTCGCGTACGAGAGTCATCAGCTGGATCTACCTGCATTGCAGTGGGTGATGGTGTTCCCACCGAAACTCGTACCCAACATCTATTGCTTCAAACTTCAAAGTGTCACAACTTGGCAGGTGGGGTGTGCAACAGATAACAGCGGATAACAACCGCATGAATTTCTGTTTATGTGCCCGCTAACACTTGACAGAGTAGATAACTGAAACAATGAAGAATACATAGGCAAGGGAATGTGTATTTCAGAGATAACTAGCACTAAATAACCCCCACTTTGCTTCATCTTGCCAAGGTATTACTTTGATCTGTTGGTATGTTGTGAATGTAAAAGTTGACCTTTCTCTGGAACAGTTAAAGTGTACTGAATGTCAGAAACCGGGTCAAGAGGCTCATTCGATCGATCATCAGGACAGTAACCCAAAGGACGCTGGTTCGATTTCTGCTGCCACTCGGGTTTCCATTTCACCTCCAACCATCTCTCCATGTCAAATATTTATTTGTTGATTACGATAACCTGTAGTCACTTTAGACTGTTTGCAGCTGATGAGACACCGTGAAACGAAAAATGTGTACACTTTATCAAGGTAACCAAACTTATATGGGATAAAAGTGGGCCGAACCCAACGAGTTGTAGTTGTAATGAAGACAATCTCTTATCAGGGCCTTTTCGAGTGAACTGACATTAGTTGGAAAAATACTGAAAACCCGAGAGCATTGGAAGTTGTTTCAGCAGCGCATACCCAGGATCTTCAGGTTCCCCGGCAAGCACGTTGCCATTAAACTATTGGTTCATATCTTCTTCCTTTTAGCAGGTCGTGACTACAGAGCTACTTCATCCACTAATCTCATTGAGTAACTGTCCCCACATTTCTCATTGGAATCCCAGTTGGGGTCCACGTGACAACAGGAACCAGTAACTGAGGACTTTAGTTCATATAGCTCATAAACGATCCCATTGACTGACTGACTGACTGACTGACTGACTGACTGACTGACTGACTGACTGACTGACTGACTGACTGACTGACTGAGTCTAGTTCTTTTACTAACTACCTACTTACAATCTGTAGGCAAATCATGAACATCGATCGATCCTACACATACACACACACAAGAGAGAGAGAAGCACTCTGACATTGAATCATTGAACAAAATTCAATTTGTTTGAACTGTAGGTCATTTTATTGTACAATAGTTCAAATTAGTAGGTCAAAATGTAGTACTGTGGATAATCAATTTATTTCAAATATAATGATCGATAAATCAATAATTAAAGTATATATGAGGAGAAAAAACACAAAAATGTACACTTTTCATGAAATTACACTAGTAGTCAAAGGGTTCGGAAGGGTGTGTTCAATGTTTTCGTCATCTAAACTGGAATAGAACACTTCAAAAGTTTTGTGAAAAATGATTTTCAAGAAAAAATAGGCAGACATGAATGCGCATAGAGCGAGATTAGATCAATAAGTGGTTAGATAGGGATATTGTTGCTATGCGAAATTGTGTAATACACATTGGTTGATTGATTGAGTATCTCATATATGTGTGAATACGATAAGTTAATGTTTGCACAACAATGAGGCGCTGTACGAAATGTATACATGTTTCTGTAGAAAATTTCAATAGGATACTTAGTATCCAGGATATTCTTCTCTTTTTATACATTCACTTAATAGGTATAATCATATGGAACTTCGAGTAGAGATGATTCAACTTGTGGTTTTAAATTCTGTCTATCAAGACACCATACACTGGATTGATCTTGACAATCTGAAATAGCCTTCACTTCATCTAAAGGTGGTTGATGAAACTCAGATGTTATTTGATGATAATTCATTGGATTCGATAACCATGGATGTGATGAACGATTAGGATTGATTTCATTTAATTGAATTGATGATGATGTAATCATCTTTTCATGATTCCAATTAGGAGATGTATTATATCTTGAAGAATCATTTACAACAGTTTGAAGATTCATTATAGACAGATTCGGTGAATGTTTACATTTCTTCTCATCAGAATGAATATTTTGTGTTGTAGGACTTGAAGAAAATTTTTGCCTCATCTCTGATGAATAAGGTGATGATTTGATGATAAATTATTCGAATGTGTTGATAAATTACTATTGTTTAAATGCGTTGATTGGTCAGTCAGCAGATGACCTTGAACAGGTGGCATATGACCTTCTGTTTGAATTAAGCCACTTGATTGGTTGTCATCGATTAGCTTAGATGGGCAGGTCGGATATTTACAAGTGGTGCTGATGGTTATTGATCCAGTCTCATCATTGTTTAATTGATTAATTGATACATTTGAATCAGACTGTAATTTAAACGGTAAATATGACTCATACTTTATAATGTTGGATGGAAAAAACCGATTGTCATATGGATGATCTCTATCTGGTTTCTTTTCTAATTCAGTCATTTCTGTTGTTGTTGTTGTTGATTTTCTATCGAAATTTAAATCGTCATCTCTGTTCATTGAATGAAAATGATGTGAATGAGTTAACAAAGAATGTTGTTGATTATGTGATTGATTAGTGTACTCCACCTGATCTGAATTATCGACTCGTGAAGATAATTTAGCTGAATGACAATTTACAGACCGAGAATCATCATCATCATAATCACTATCCTGAAATAGTTAATGAGGAAACAAAGAAATGTCTATTATTGATTATTCTCACAACAACGAAAAATTCACAAAGTTAATTGAAGGTCATTCACCGTTAACATAACTGCATAGTAACTTATCTGATTTATCCAAGCTACTTCCTTGTATACCATAATGATGATCCTACGAGCAATACTGATGAGCACACTTACTTCTGAAGATCTGTTAAATACCTGGTAAGGTATAAAGCACTTACCGTTATAGTCTACATTGTGATGACGGTTCAACGACAGTAAGGTGTTTTATCAATGAATGACTAACCTTCCACGTTGATACTACTTCATCTAAGGGAGGAGAGGGTTTTGGCCCGGAAAATACCACACCCACCTCAGCCTCGTGATCTACCACTGTCAATAGGTATAGATTTTCTGGCTCATCTTAGAACAAAAACACAACCTAATATCCATATGGAACGTTTAGTACAATGATTGACACGAAAGTTAGACTTCATCAGGAGACTATCAAGATAAGGTGAGGTAACCTTTCAATCCACCTTTTCTTCTACTAGGGATCATCTGTGAAACAGATAAATATTCAGTGGTTTCAGAGTCGATATTCCGATTTTCTTCAAGGGTAAAGACATAAGACAGTATATCCTCAGGAGTTATTATGATGTATTGAAAGTTTCTCTTCATTAGGCAATAAGGAACTCGGTGGTTGGCATGTATGTCATCCAGCTAAAAGGAATTTACAATAAACAGTGTAGAAACTGTGTTATTCATAAAACTGGACAGTAAACCAGCCGACGAGATATTTGTAAGGGAGATAGCTGAGTGTTAAACACGCCTTCTTCATTAGTTGTAGTCTATTGACCTACAAAACTGAATTTTCACTAGTTAGGACCCCAGTTTAAATATGATGGATGGGTAATTGGTCTGCTTTTCAACTCTCACAGGTATGTTACAACCTGTGCTTCTCATCTCAATATATGGGGATGGATTGTAACTGTTGCATGTTAATGGTCGTGTATTATTCTGTTTATTCTGAAAGTCATCTTACTTATGACTTAACTGATAAAATTGTTGTATAGCTTGGTTGAAGAGCTTCGATTGACCTCTCATTCATTACTATATGACTTCGGAAATAATTGCGTATTGACTGAACTCCATCACTTCTCATTTTCTGTTTATTATCGATTATTTCATCTTTATAAACTATGGTGCGTTGTGGTCAAGTAATTCAGATATATTCACCGATGAGCCTAGATCGCCTGAGATGTACGGAGAATAAATAGCAGATGGTGTCTTGTGTAACAGGCTGTTGAAAGGGCCGAGTTGTATGACTCATCGTGTGGGCAAATGTATACTAGACCAATCACGTTCAAGGTCATTGTTAAGGATAAATCATAGGCCACAAGCAAGGTTATCATGAAGGGCCTTTCACTCTGTCATTCCCAAAAAAGACGATACTGATTACACTTTACGTGGAAATATTCTGCTATAACACTCTCCTAATCTCATCTGAGGTGTGCCACTTGTATGCTATGGCGATTGTTGAGGCCCGTGACTCAAGCGTATTTTTAAGACGTAATTTAATGCTATTTTCACTTTGCGAATGGATTTCATTGGACAATTAGTCGAATTGAACATTCTCTCACTTCCATTCCTTTGTTTCTATCTTCATCTTATCTCGTCAACTGGGGTTGCCTGCCTAACAATGGATGGTGTTGCTTTTATCAGGACTCGAACCGATAGCCTTAAACGCCACAGCGTTATCTACTACTCCATTGAGCTATGATAGCCACTCTTTGAGTGATAAAGTAAGGCTCGAGAAGTTATGCCAAGAAGTTGAAAAAAACCTTCACTTCAACAAAAAAACTTGCCGTTTGATCTTCTTCACCTGGACCATTTGCCGTTCCATTCAGAAATGCAGTTGGATCTTGTCCTTGACGTAATATTTTCTTCAACTTTGAACGTTTATTTTGGAACCAAATTTTAACCTTTGAGAAAAAAAAACATGAAAAAGAAAAATATAAAAAAATCATTTTTTGTGCACGTGGGAATTGGTGATGTCCAGCCTTACCTAATGAGTTATGTTTCTCTACCAATAGAAATCTTAATTATCCAGCGTGTTCAAATAAATGTTTAACGATGACCTTGAATACGCAAGAGTGCGATCGCACTACTTTCTATTTGTAAAAAGAACTTAGTGGGTTGATCTACATAGCTTCACCCAGGTAATACCACAGTAATTCAAGAACGGATTTTTTAGAAAGGGGGGGGAGGATCATTTGGTTTTTAAACTGGTTTCCATTATAAGACTGACATCAGTTGTAGAACTACTAAAGACCACAGAGCAATGGGCAGCTGTTTCGTCTTAGCCCAGACCTCCTCAGTAGCGGTCACTCATAGTTCCGCGAGGAATCAAGGAAAAGACTGTCTAGTCTCATGGCGAATATGTCACTAATCAGCCTTCTACTCACGACTTATCAGAGGAATTTGACTCCTGACAAACACTAGACTAACTATTCTATAATTGATGCTGAGCAATGATTCAAGGTGAAATTAAAGTTTCGAGTGGCGACAGGATTCGAACTAACTACCTTTGGATCATCGGCATGGTACTCTACCCATAAGACCCGACTGCTAACCAGACATATTATTTCACTTTAGTCAACAAAAGTTATTCTACTCTTGATTATATTCACACTGGCTGGCTGCCTAATCAGGACTTCTTATCCCAATTCAAACCTACTTGAATCAGAGAGGGTCAGCCATGGTTTAGCAGACTTGTGATGAGTTTCTGTAACTCATGACCACAAACTCTTGGGGGTAACGCATTGCTACCAGTTCCCTGATGTACGAAACCAAGTTTACAAATTACCAAATTGACTGTGAGTTGATTAAAATCAGGTCTGGAAAGCTTATAGATACACATATGAATAACATTCATCAGTAGTCGATAAATGTCATTAGTGTTAGAATTTACCCTCTATCCCCAATATAACCGACCTCGTATGCAGAACGTGACATGTTGGAAAGAAAGGATAGCGTATGCATCCAAAATTCAAGCGAATCAGCTCTTGGCCAGGTTCAATGATGCATCCGCCATACATCCTGCTGATGACTTTCAAGGGATGGAGCTATCAATCAGTGGTTGACAGGTAACCAGTTACTATCGTCAACACTAACACAATATATGTGTGACTCATCATTATTATTTGTCCTTTGGGTTCCTAATGGAACATACGGCTTCAGTAGCAAGTCTCCATTCCACTCTCTTCTCTGAAATCTTTTGAACCTAGCTCCACGACAGCCCACAAGCTCTCATTTCTTCCTCACACGATCTCCTCCATGTCACCCTCAACTCGGATGCCCAACTCGCTGTTTCCCATCTGGGTTCCACTCAAGCAACTGGCCTGGCGCGTGATGTCCCCAGTCGGCCTTCTCACTGTATGCCTAGCCCAATCCATCTCCACTTCCTTCTGCATATTTGTTCAGCGATATGTTCTTGGTTGGTTCGTTTCCAAAGTGAGTTCCTTGTTGCTTATTCTTTCTTGCCATCTGATCTTCAGTAACGAGCTAGTGTAGGCGGCAGTCGTTGGTGAATGTCTGTAGTTTATTGGAAACGCCTTTCGTAACGCGCTTGACGTTGGTGTTGAAAATCCGGATGTTGTTCCACATGCTGAGTGGAGTGCAGAAGATCTCCACACTGGTTTCAGGCTAATGAACGCCTGTCTTGCTTTTCCGATCCTGACTTTGACGTCCTCGTCTGTGCCGCCTGTAGTTGAAATAATGCTGCCTAGATTAATGAAAGAGGCTACTTCCTTTAAGTTTCTCCCGTTAATACATGTGTGACTTACTTATTCATTATCCAGTCCAGTAACCTCCACATAGTCGCTAAAATGAAAGAATTACTTCACTTGTTATGGCTGCAAACACCAGGTCCAATGTTAGCAGGGAATCACTTCAAGCAATTTTCGTCTGTTAGTCTAAAGCATATCACTTAGAGTTCATCTGACAACAGAAACCAGTGGTTGGAGACCAAGAGGATGATATGCTGCAAATATATTCATACATTATCATCCTCTCCACCTCCTTTTTCTCTTTCGCTTTGATGTACCAATTTAAACCGTTACGCAGCAATCCTCGGTCTCTTATTGATATCGATTGATTGAATAGTTTCAATGCATTATAAACTCAAAACACCACACATTTTACATCCTTAAAGAATACGGGTCAATGTGTATATATGTGTGTACATCTACGTGTTTATTACCATTCGATTTAACTAGAGTCACAAGATAACGGTCAGTTCAATGTGCTACATTATACTTAACAATCTTTGAAAAATGTGCTCAAAAGGTAGTTGACACAAGGACAATTTAAGTAGAACTAAATAACCAATCAATACCATCTCATCTCTTCACCCACCCACCTAGATTTGTATTGTAGACAAATATGATTATATCACTTCTTTAGTTAAGTACAATAGGTCAAGGTTATAGTCAAATATCAATCGATATATTCGAATAAGTTTACAGTAACCAATAGAAATAATCGATCAGAGTTGTAATTCGATAGTTATTTCGAAGTGAATTACGTAATTGTATTTTTAGTAGACTAGTTATTATTATTTTTGTTGAATATCAAATTCCTTCGGAGAGAAAATAAAAGCATAGCTTATAGATATATTCTGGTTGAATTTGGATAAGTTGGAGGAACATTGGAAACCCGAGAACACTCGACATCTGTTTCATCGCAGTGCGCATCCATGACCCCATCAGGAATCGAACCCGTGACCTTCAGGTTCCGTGGTCAGCTCCTTATTATCATTATTTATTCCTTGGATTCCTAGAAATATATCTCCAGTTCACCCTCTTCCCTGCAGTTTTCTTAACCTGGATCCACCACTACCCAGGAGCTTCCATTTCCTCCTCACACACACACACCATCTTTTCCATGCCATCCTCCGAAGCCTGACTAGTTGTTTCCCGTTTGACTTCCATTCGACGGTCTGGCCTGACCTGATACTGATGTCCCGAGACCATCTTCTCACTGTACGTCCAATACAATACAATTTATCTTCACTCTCTTCTTCAGATTTGTTGGGTGGCAGGTTCTTGGTTGGTTTGTTGTCATGCAGAGTTTCTTGTTACTTACTTACTTTCTGGCGTTCTGATCTGATCTTCAGTATCGAGCATAAGCAGCTGTTAATGTATGTCTGTAGTTTGTTGTCATGAATCACTTGACATGTGGCTTCGTCATATAGATGTTGAATAAGGTTGATAAAGGCTTGTGACACTAGAAGAGTAATGTTGAAACAGTTGCCAAATTACTTCTTGGTTGACGCTATCCAAGGCCTTTTGATGAATTTGAGGTAAAGATTCAGTTGACTGTTATTCTATGCTCTGTTGTATGATAATGGAATTTCATGGCTACATGATTTGTTTTTCCTGAGGCTTGTCAGCCTGTTCCGGTGTTAATATTGAAGCCAGCCAATGGTAACGTGCTGACCATGGAACCTGGAAGTCACGGGTTCGACCTCTGAGGGTAGGGTCGTGGGTGCCCATATCAGAACGAAGCAGCTGTCTAATGCTCCCAGGCTTTCATTGTTCCTTCAACTGATGTCAATCCATGTTGAATACTAACTTGTATCCTGGTTGCCTAGTGATAAGTGATTTGGTTAAATATGGCGGTAAATGTTTCCATACGACTATAAAGTCTTACGAAAACTTACTAAACTACCGGTGAAGCTCATCAATTTTGCATAAAACATTCACTTAGAAAGGCAACAGACATCAGATAGGGAATACAGTGAAAACAGTTCATGTAGACATTCCAATCCTAGAAAAGATTAGGGATCAGTAAATATATCCCTACAGTAGCATCCTAAAGCTATGATTCCCTAGATGAAACAATCCACTTTAAGCTACTTGGTCGCGGGTTCGAAACCCACTTCATTAATCAATCCCAAGGAGAATACAACTTCCCTTGCTTGTAGACGATTACAACTACAGCGAATATTCAACCGCAATACACCATTGTACACTTTCATTTGTGTACATAAGTTAACTGTCCTGTATTCTCACTGAAGGAAGAAACAAACAACCTTGGTCAAACAGGAAAATCTAAACACTTCGTTGAATAATTTGTTTTTCGCATGGAAAATTCACAGTTTAATATAAACAACAGCTAAGTAACTTGAAAAATCTTCATTTCTAATAAATTGGCGGGAGGGGGGGGGTGAAAGGCTGTATAATTGGCTTCTTCAATCGCCTCCCACGCCCACCCACCCCATCACTCTGGTATCCTTCGTTTACAAAATTCAATGTGTCCAATAAGATGGTTTTAATATTGTATGAAAAATATTATTAGGAATAGTAATTCAACTTAGATAATATACGAATAATAGAATGATTCATTCGCTCACTGTTAATTTTTACATCTGAAAGGATGTTTAATTGTTGTAGGTAAGAAAATTTTTCTTTTAGATAATTGACCCTTATCATCATTACTAATTCTAAGTACGTGTACATCTTAACACGTAGTCGAGTGTGTGTGTGTGTGTGTGTGTGTGTGTGTGTGATTAACAGCTATTTCCCATGAATGTTTGCGTGCCACAACAACCTCGCCCCCTCCCCCGCCACGTGGTCACTATTCACTTTCACTCTCTATCTCTTCACCTCACTTCTACTAGTTACCGTTTTTCTGTTTCATCTATCGATAATTCTGGTTACGCTAACTGTTAAGAGAATGAATATAATTGCTGTACTCCTTGTTTCTCTGCTCAAAAGGAATCGTGATTTTAGTGATGTGTGTGTGTGTGTGTGTGTGTGTGTGTGTGTGTGACTGGAGGTGAGGGTTGTAGTAGCCAGATTAGTGTTATTCCCCTCAGTCACCACCACCACCACCACCACCACCACCATAGATATCCTTGAGGAGAAAACGAGTATATACTAAGATGTACACACATATTCCCTACAACAAACTAATCTAGTTTGTAGTGATAAGTGAGGTCAGTATAGTGAGAGAACGTTTCTAATGTACTTTGATGGAATGAGGGTTGGTGATAGATGTCAGTCATTTAGGCAGTTTATGAGTGTATGTACAAGCAGAGTATTCATCACTGACTAAGAGTCATTGAAAACCTAGAGACACATCTACGATCCTACCAGAAATCAAACTCGGTACTTTCACGTTCATTGGTGAGCACGTCATCACTAAATCGGTGGTTTCAAATCCATCAGTTTGTGACACAGTACAACTTTCATCCAATGCCAATGTGTTTTTACTATGGTTTAGCACTAGGTAGAGGACCAACGGTGCTGGGCTCAATTTTTGGTAGGATCGTGAGTTACCAGTACCAGTCTTAGACCAGGACTCCAACTAATATCAACCCAGGATGAAATCCGTTTAAATTTTGCTCGTTCTATCCATGACTCGTGAATCAATAGGTTGTATCAAGAGAATGTTTCAAAGCAGAGGAATACATCAATATTGCATACTATTGAAACCTAATTAATCGATTTCATTGGATAGACATGATCTATCCAGTGTTAAGTTGTACCAACTAGTCAGTAAGAAGTCCTACTTTATAGTCTAATTGGAAGTTGAGAGCGTAGATAAGTGATTGGGTCATCGGTTCGAACCCCACTCCATTCAAACTCAGGGTTTGATAGGGTAGAGTATCAATAGTTGTGGATTGTCCATTTCACGATCTTGTGTACGACCTATGAGTGAAGCACATTCCCATGAATAGATGGAGCACGAGTGGGAGGGGAGAGGAGAGAGAACAATGAGTAATCCTTCATTTTCTCTTCACTAACAAAACTCACAGTTTGATAAACAGATCTTTAGGTTGTCTCACTAATTTCGTGCATGTCATCTACATCTTCCTGATGATGATTTCATGACAAGAAGAATTTCTGTTGATAGGTCATGCATACCATACTTTATCTCTTTTATTCATAGATATATTTAAGAACTAAACTGAACAGATGGTCTAAAGCGTGTCTGTTCTGTATGCTTTCATGATTCACAATAACTTCTTACATAATAATAAAAGTGGATCAAAGCTGACTATACTCTTTCCTCCCCACCCTCCCCCCCTCCTCCTAACATTCATATTTGATAGAGAAATGACTATCAAAGCGATAGTAGTAGAAATCGCTGTTGTTGCGTGAGTACACGCATGCACAGATACATATAGGCTGAATATATGATGTTGACTTGATCTCAGTTCATTAGTCTCCAGTACTGACCGCATCATAAATTTTGGTGTATGCCTGTAAACTGGATTGTAAGCCAGTTTTGTTGTCTGCTTTCCTGGAAGAAGGCTTAATAGATGGATCTGTGTCCGAATCCAAGATATATTGCTAGAAAGTCAAGGTAAAACTCCCACTCTGGGAACAAGTCGATTTGTGTGTGCGTGGGTGTATCTTCCAACCCTCTGGGAAGTGGTGTCTTCTTTGGTAGACAAGCTCCAACCATCCAGTATTGCAGACAGAGACGTTACCGTTGAGGATAGCCTCCTGCAGGACTGTGTAAGTTGTTGTTGTTGGGATTCAGTCATCAGGGGTTTCGCTCTAGTTGGCATTCTTCAGTAAGTGAAAGGCTTCACCACCAACTTGATCAGACCGCAACTAAATTGATTATATGGAAGTATTAATTATCAATGGGTAACCGATCCAACCAATCAGAGTCTATCCACAAACCGATTTGCATAAAACTACTCATTAACTTTCATTTCAGTAGTATAACATATCAAACACAAAAAAAACAAGAAAAAGTAGCTAAATTCACTGAAATCCCCTCAATTTAACTAACTTGTGTTTGTGTTAATCCAAGTTGAGAAGCTAAACTGGCACGTTCTGTTAGATTCAAATACTGTGAATGAACAAAACGACGATTTAACATTTGTAATTGCCATATAGAGTAAATTGTTCGTGGTTTACGAATTTTTTTATTTTTCACTAAAAATATACCATTATTAGATGTTGGATCTTCATTATTATCATTAGTATTATTATTATTATTATTATGATTGTACACATTCATATGAGATATTTGATCTTCTTGTGGTGATATTGAACGTTGATGTGAATAATAGTCAATTGAAGAGATTGGTGAATGAATTACACCATCTAAAGACAGAAAAAGAAAGATTAACACATAATTATTACTTAGAAAGTGTATGAAAGTAGAATAAGTCGGCTACATCATTGGTGAACTCATTAGTACTCAACTTACAGACTCAACTGGAATTTATTGATTGATTGAAATGGTTCTAAAGTTGACTGTGTATTGTGTTAACCCATACCAGTTTCAATTTACTCAGTAACGCATCTGACTACCTCATCCTATTCTTGTATCCAAGGTCAAAGTCAATAATTTCAACGATAATCATAGAGTTTCTAAGTAATATACAGACTGATGATCTATTTGCTTCGATATGGATTTTCTGAAGTCCTAATGAAGAGTTATGAAGTATGCAGCCGACTATATGGAATCTGAGAACTGCTAACTATCTGGTAGGATGCTTACCTAGAGATTTGATTGTCCTGGGATTCAATCCTGTATAGGGTCGTTAGTGCATACAGCTGAAGAGTCGCAAACTGAGACGAAACAGCCGTCTCCTGACTCCAGGTTCCCAATGGCCCCCACTTTCACTCATTCTGTCGATGTCTACCACTGCAACGATGACTTAGAGGAGTAAGAACGCTGTTGAAATCACTTAATTTCAACAAAAAATTCCATACTACTATGTATGGCTACTTGAATTAATCAGTAGTATATTAAGTTTGAGATGTTTATGTTGGTGCCATATTTTGGGAGACCGAGATAACTTTAAAGGCCACCCTGACAACTGCTAAAATTTCCAATCAGGTTTCGATGTTTCGGCAAGGAAGACAATATTTCATAGAACAGAGACACGTGATTGGCTTTTACATCAGTCGCCAGGGTGGCCATTTAAGTCAGTCACGTGGATGCTACAACACCTAATACCGAAATACGAGAATCTTTAAAAACCAGGCTGCTGAAATGACCAATAAGCTTTTAGTATTTCACCTGGTTATAGAAGCAGTTGCTAAGGTAGCTTTCAAAGTCCGGTGACTAGCCTGGAAAAGTACTTTTCCATAAAATGAAGGAACATAATTGGACATCTCATCAGTTGCCAGGGCAGCCTTTAAAATCACCCCGTTTAGCGTTGGTTACTAGCTTCCTTTAAATGGCTTAGTCATCGAGGAACTACTAATTCTGTCATGGTTGCAGAAACTCTTCATAAGTGTTGCATTGCTCAGCTTATCCATTACATTCTGGTTGGTATTGTACGCCTACTATTGGATAACAGCCTTGGTTACCTACCACTGACCAATTTGTGTACAATTGATGTAAGTCAGTGAATAAACAGAAACTCATGTACTTCACAACTTCTGTGCATGACTGGAAAGTGGACTTGTGGCTCGTTAGCTTAGCCAGTTGACATCTAACCAGTGGGTAATGGATTCCAGACCCGCCCTAACCATCTACGTCTGGACAGTCAGATAGCACCATTCACCCTCATACACACGCACACACACAAAATAGGTATGGCTCACTGCCTACTGCATCAATGTGCACAAAATAGCTGAGTACAGAGATTCACACCTTATGATCTCGTCATAACGGTCCATATAAGTCAGCTAGTTAGATTCACTCGATCTGAACAAATTCGTGTCTATGATCTCAATTTGTGCGAGTACAACACACCTCTGATGAGTAGACTTCACATGGAAGAAGAGAAATGGCCGTCAAACGGATCTGGCTAACTAGGTGGTGAAACACACTACTACTCAAGTTGTTTGATGAAGGTAAGCAGTTGTTATGACATGAGTTGATAGATAAGCATGAAACTATCCAAATGTTTTAATGATGGGTCGTGGCTAGCAGTGGAAACCAGGATACGCATTTCGTCCTATTTGGGACTCGTCAGTTGGATGTAACTGCTTCCCAGTGAGTCATGTTGTTCCCACCGGCATTTGGACTCGGGAGAGATCGCTTCAAACACCAGGGCGTTATCCGTAGTCCCAAATAGGACGAAATACTCATCCTGGATTCCACTGCTAGCCACGATCCATCATAAATACAATTAGAACGCAGGCAATACCGAGGCATCCGCACAGGAGCCCATTAGCCAATAGAGACCGATCAATTCGGTCCAATCAACCACGGTATGATATAAAAATAATTATACTATCCAAATATTTTTCATCATCGAAGCACTAAGCCACAATTTTACATAATCAAGAGTGTACATCCAGACAGGGTAAATTAAAATTTACTTAAGAATGTCGAAATTACACTGTACTCAGAGACCACGAACACACAGGGAGTAGGCAAAGAGTCACTAACCGGTTGTCTAAACTTTGACAAGTGGGGCGGGGTTCAAACCCATGACCCAACGATTAGAAGTCAATCGAATAAAGCAATCAGCCATATCTCTGCGCAGGAATGCGATTATAGTAATCGACAGTGGAATCCAGGACGCTGCATGTACCTGAACCCCAGTGACCCACCTCAGAGGTATACATATCTTCTCTCAACTTGATTGGATGTAGACATTACATCTGACTAATTAGAAACTTAGTTCTCTGGAAACAAATTTCAAAGACAACCAATAGTGTCATCAAATGACCTGAGACTCCTGTGTAATGGTCCAATATATTACACAACAAACAAGAATCCATCTAGGCGATGATTTCTGTTCTCACATGGACACTGACCGGTGAATTTACACAGAATAATCTAAACGACAGAATAACATGGAGAGCACAAACATATCGCAGTTACCATTAAAAGTAACTTACCTTTATGTTCATTCTACCTTACCGCCCTCCTTCTCACCCTCCCCCCCCCACAACCCAAATATAGTTTATTATGTGAGCGATTCCCTACTGAAGATCAGATGGCCAGAAAGAATAAGCAACAAGGAACTCTGGGAACGAACCAACCAAGAACCTATCACTCAACAAACATGCAGGAGGAAATGGAGATGGATTGGGCATGCACTGAGAAGGCCGACTGGGGACATCACGCGTCAGGCTAGTCACTCGAGTGGAATCCCCATGGGAAGCGACGAGTTGGGCGTCCTAGGGTGACATGAAGGAGATCGTGTGAGGAGGAAATGAGAGCTTGTGGGCTGTCATGGAATCAGGTTCAAAAGATCTTAGAGAACAGAGGTCACTGGAGACGTGCTACTGAAGCCCTATGTTCCATTAGGAACCCAAGGGACTAATAATATAATAATAATGTGGGCGATTATCAATTTAACTGTCTGAGATAACCATGTTTTAACAGATATATATCGATATCGGGTGATGATTAAAGATGGAAAGAAAATCTGACCCATAGCCGGAGTTGAACTAGTAACTAGAGGGTTTCGTCACCGGGTAGACATTGTAAAACACTATCAAGTGGATAGTAAAGCGTCAGGAATTTATATGACACCTGGGGAAGATAATTCTTGGCGACTGAAGTGGAATAAAAAGTCTGGTGAACAGCTTGATTTCGTAGCTCAATTGGTTCGAGTCCCACAGTGGACTAGATTCTCAATCGTCGCCTAGTAACATCTTATTAGTTGTTATATTCTTACTAAGTTCGTCTTGTTGGACAGAGGGGTTAAACGAAACAAGGTAGTGGGTGAATGAGTGAGTGAGTGAGTGAGTGAGTGTGAGTGAGTGAATAAACTACAAGCAGAATAACACACCACCCAGAATTAAAACGATTCGCTCCAGTGAACTTTGAGCAACCCATCTAGGTTTCCATTTCATCTGCAATACACTCATCGTTGACGGAGACCATTTATTTGTAGTGAATAAACAAACGTCAGATGAGGAGTCTTTTAGCATGATGACCATATTGAAAAGTGATTGATAGAACTTGGGTATCATTCGAGACTGCCCAGTGACCGATTTGTATAACTAATCTAGTCTTACAGGAAGTTAATCGCTGCCGGAATAGCTCAATAGCGACACGGGTTCGAATCCCATGAAGGACATCAATTCCGTCGAGATTCCAGATATACTTACTTACCTTGCAAAAACAAACTTGAAACTATGTCAAGCAGGTGTTAAAAGATTCAATCATCATTTAACTCCATAACTGAGATGGTTATTTTTCAGTCATTTGGGTGATGAACACCAGTTTCATCAATATTCATGATACCTTTCACTGAAGACAGATATTAAGTTGACCGACTCCATGTGACACACTTACTCAAAGGAGAAATATATACTACACTGTCAGCTACACAATGAATCTATGAGAGTTTATATCATCCTACTAAGTTGCCAATTTCGGAGTTGGTGGAACGGGAATCGAACTCAGCACCTACTAGGTGAAAGTTAGCTGTTTAAGCCAGTTAGATAAAGCTCCGCAATGGAATCACGGAAAGCTTTCCTCAACTGACCAGGATCGTCTGTTATGCAAGTAATAATAATCACTTTACTTGAGACATTATGTTTGGTACAGCACGGTATTCTAAGCAAGTAATATTTCGGCATTTTTACTCCCAATACATGTAACGACTAGTTGTTGTTACATCATCGCGTAGTCTAAAGGTGACATGGGGTGAGAGAACAATGAAGCTTCAGCAGTACACACCGGCAACCCCCCTCCCAATCAGGGATCGAACTCAGGACCTTCATGTTTCATGAGAAATGTGTTCAGTCACTGAGTGAGAATTTAATGATCCACAGTTTTCAACTCCTGTTAATTTTTAATATAGGGCAACTAATCACCAAGGTCTTTAGTTGGCATCGGTTCACTTCCAACTCGTTGACCCTACAGGTCATTACAACTTCAGGATATCCATCTCGAATGATTTCAGTAATTGTCATCCCTATCAGCCTCGAAATATATTTCTTTTCACTATTAAATTGTGAAATGATATTACTACCTGTCAGCCTAAACTTCGGTATGTGAAACAGGGCTCGTACCCATCACCCAGCGGTCATCTTTTTCAACCATTGAACCGCAGTTCCATACGACTTGTATTGTATATTTGAAGGCAGAGATAGTAGGGAACCAATTCGGTTTATTCACTACCTGCTCAATAAATTTAAAGTTGCATAGCATGATTAAGCAGAAGATATGGTGTGTGTGT